CTCCAAGCCAGCAAGGGGAGCCTGGCGGGCTGCAGCTCGACTTGTCCTGGGAGCTGCTCCCATGGGCAGCCCTGGGCAACTGGCTTTAGCCAGTCTCATCAGCCAGACTCTTTTTCTGTATTTCCCTCCTCAAAGCCCTGCAGCAGGTGGTAACCCAATCCCAAAGGGTCTTGATTTGAGGACCACATGAAGGATGCCCTGCAATTCCCAGCCCAGCCCATCCCAGTTCCCAGCATGGCTGAGGGCAGGAGGCAGTCCCACTGCGGCTCCGCCACGAGCCGTGGGGATTTTTCCCCAAGGCAGAGGCGATGGCTGCGGGCGGGAGCCTTGCTCAGTGAGCCCCGGCAGCAGCTCCTGCAATTTTTCGCCTGGGGCTGCAGGGATCTGGGCCACTGTCAAGGCACACATGGTTTTCACAGCACCACCATGCTCACCTCGCTGAGATGTCTCTGAAGATGTTCCCAGATGATGTCTGTGGCCAGCTCGGTGATGTGCTGTGATGCTCGGTGGGCTCCTCTCACCCCAAGCTGTCTGAGCTCTCAAAGGGAGCTCACCAGCAGCCTCCTTGGAGGAGCCATTCCCAGTGGTGCAGCTGAGGCCAGCGAGGTGCCGATCTCTGTTCCAGAAACAGAACTGGCCCAGTTAAACAAACAGAAGAGGCAAGCTGCGGTGAAGGGGACCAGCCCAGAAAGAGCAGATGCTAATCCAGAACGTGACACATCCCAGTGAGTCACGAGTCATGAGCGGACTTTTTTTTTTTTTTTTTTTTTTAAAAAAAACATCAAAAAACTTCAGTCAGAGAAAGAAAATCTTCCAGAACAGTCTCCCTTCCCATGGCTAGGAGGGTCGTGGGTGTAGGGACCTCACGCAGGGCTTGCATAGCTGAAAGCCGACGGAGTCCCATTAGGTAAGAATGGGGGAGTTTTCCTGCGAGGCCTAAGCGAGCAGCTGGTGGGAGCGAGGTAGGATGGCTGCAGTGCAGCAGCAGCACGTGGTGGCTGTAACTTCCAGCCTCACCCAGCCAGGTGAAGATGGAGCTGTCACCACAGAAGATGGAGACATCGCCTTGTCTGATGGGCAGCAGAGCAGCTCCAGTGCTCCTCGAGCAGGAAGGTGAAGCACTCATCACTCCATCTCCTCCTGCCTCGCGGTGCTGGGCTGCAGGTAGCTCCCAGCCCAGGGGCTCTGCTCATCTTCTTTTCCTGCTTCTGCCTCTCTGCCACCGTGGTTTCTGGGGACGCTCTCCTGAGAAGCAGCCTGGGTGGTGGGAGACATTTGTAGTGGGGTTTTCCAGTCTCCCTGGGCAACAGCAGGACAAAAATGAGACTGTCACAGCCTTTCTCCTTCCCTCTCCTCACCAACCTTAGGGAAACCACCAGTTCACAGGAGACTCTCGTGCCCCAGGACACCGTCCCCCAGTCTCTGCTGGCTTTCTCAGGAGGAAATTCCTGCCACCACCCGATGACCAGCCTGCTGCAGGGGATCTCCCAGGCTGCGCTTCCTCCTCCTGGTCGGCTTTTGTGGGTCCGGTTCCCAAAGACACAGCCATGCC